ACTGATAAAATATATTTCGTTTATGTACTTTCGTTTACACTATATTTAAATACATAAAAACAATTAACTCATAATTAAACAATAATTTTTTACATCAATCTTAAACTTCAAACCCTAAAATTTATACTCTAAACATTGAATTCAAAAATTCAAAGCATAAAGCTTAAATCTTAAATCATAAACTTTAATTTAAAAAAATATTATTTTACTGTGAGTTAAAGAAATATTTATTTAATAATTATAAATTTTAATTAAATCTAAATCATTTATTTATGATAAAAGGGTAATTTTTTCTTTGTAGTATATTTAATTTATAACTTTCACCCCTATTGTATTTTCGCGTCAATTTAGTCCTCGAAGTTGATTAATTTCATTATTCTATACCCTACCCCAACTTAAAATCCTAAGTTATAAACCCTAAATCATAATCACATAACTTCTAAACCATAAACCTTGAACTCTACATTCTAACTAAGGGTCTGTAATTCAGGGGTAGGGGTACATAACGATTGGAAGTTTGTGGTAGGCTCAAATTTTAAATCCAAATGCAATGGCTTTTTTGGTACGTTTTAATATGTCACGTGCCATGTGCTTAAGCTTGCCCCCGTTTTGGTAAAACAGCAAGTTCCGACTCCGTGTCTGGTGCTGAACCCATCTTAAACGATTAAAAAACACACACCATACTCGACAATTTTAAGCCCTTCTCCGATGGTCTTGTCTCAGCCTTTGTTTTAAAGAATCCAAACATAATGTTGACGCCAAACCTGCGTGTACCAAACGTAAAGGAGGTCAGAACACTTGTGTGTATATATATATAATGTAGAGTATACAAATGATTTCAATTATACGGTGTTGCTTTGTTAAATCCTTCAACCATTAAAATTTATAAAATGATCCCGATTATAGAGCATTGTTTCGTTAAGTCCTTACAAAATAGTCAAATGACTATTTTTTCTTGGTTGTCCCAAGGCTTCGTCCTGATTAATATGGACCGACCCGGGTCACACATCTGACTTTGGTGGGTGAGTCTCCCAAAGTGAATTTTATGCATACACAGTGACTCGAACCTGAGACATTGCTTAAGCGATATCAAGCTCGTACTTTTCTGTTAAAAATTGATGGACATTTAAAATGTACGTTAATTTGCTGACTGTGATATGATAAAATCATAATTTAATGATGTATAATGACATCATATTTGCTTTCAAGCACCAACTCAATGATATAACATTTCAAGCACTAGCTCAAAACATAATGTAAACAGGGAATTGATCCACAAAATACACAACTCAAACAGTCCTAAAATCAGATTTTATCATAGAGCCATTATTTTTTTACAACTAATAATTATTCTATAAATCATCAATATTTATAATAGATTTAATGTAACACACATAGCCCGTAAACGTCTCGAAATATGAGCTAAAGATGTCACATCAACTTTAGGAACGTTCATTGAAAATAAATGCTAAAATTTTGTTTCATTTTAAGACATCCTTTATCAATTTTATATCTGCTTCATTTAGCATGTATATTCGTAAAATAATAATTTATCATTCCAAAACATTATGATCTTATGCATCAATTAGGCAATTCCATGCAGTTTCTTATTTTTATACAATTGCCTAATATTTATTGATTTTAAAATCATTTAAAAATCATTCATAATATTCATTCATAACTACGATTATAATTAAAATTAACCAAAATTAAAACAGTACTAAAATTATTATTACAAACTCTTTTTAAAAAATAAATCTGATAAAGGAACCACACAGATATAATGTACATGTCACTAATAAGTCAAAGTTAGTATGCCTTATTGATATTGTCGGTAAGTTTGATTTCTAGAAGATTCTCGCAAGCTACTCTCTTCACGCCCTCTACACTATTTGAACCTACACATGAAAATCATCAAGCGCTAAGTAAAACTTAATGAGGCAACAACATAACTAAAGTGTTATAAAGATGAATTTCATAAAATATTATAACATGAAACTGTAATTTAAATAAAAACATTTAAAACTTTCAAACCGGGCTGTTCAAGCTGATTTCCCCTTGAAAACTGAAAAACATCCTCTCATGATTTCATCAAAAATCATAATAGTTGTCATAAACAATTCATATATCTGTCATTTTAACTAATAATCTCATAAATATTCTGATAAATAATATCATATAAAACCACCATATCATGATTTCTGTTAACTGATTCATAACTTTCATATTTATATATATATATATATAGCCTAACGTATATGTAAGAGAATACAAGGTACATGAGTAGAATTGAAAATCACGTTAAGCACAACACGGTGCCAATCATAACTGAAACTGAGATATGATGCACTTCAGTGCAATCATAATTTGTGCACCAACAATGCTAATAACTGGAAACTGATAACTAATAAGTATTCACTAAACGGTATCCTAAATGTACCTACGACTCTCAATGCAACATACAATGGGCTTTTAACTTTTATCTTGTTCATTTCATAATCAATATTTCAACTCAGAATCATTTTTCAATCATTCTTATAATAGTTCTTACCTTAATATTCATAAGACATATATAAACATTATGAAAATAATAATATGTACTTAAGTTAAAAAGCATATTTTAAATAATATAAGATTGACTTATCACAAATTGTCCTCGATCAAAATAACTAAATAAATAAATTACATTCTCTTTGACACTTAATTAATAAATCAAAATATAAGTCTCACTAAGCTTTAGGATGAATCCCTTGTTCTTAAATGCTTCAACTTTTCAATTTTATCAAAATTTCATATTCTGACAGTTCGCACTACTTCCAAATAAGTATTATTATGTATTAATATAATACTTGAAAATTATTACGTTAAAACCACTGAAAACTAGACTCAATTACAAATCTAACCATATAATACACTTCTTCTAGTTCAACATGTATGATTAATAGAAAATTTTCGAAGTTGACTGACAGAAGTTGTTTAGACAAAATCTGCTGCCCTGTTTTCTAGCCTATCTTCGATTAATAATTCATATCTTTTTATATACATTTTGAAATCAATATTCGTTTGCTTTAGAAAAAACTAGACTAATATTTGAACCCAACGGCATAAAATTCATCCTCTAATCATTTATATATAATTTGTGGTGAATTTCTAAACTTATTGTTCGAATCATAAATTTCTAGACAACTTTCCTTAAATAGCATCCTTAGCTTATTTCCATAATTCTATAAGCTTAATAAATGAACCTTTAGGCAAGAATTACAATTCACATGACATTAGGAGTCACTTCTTAATGTAGTAACTCCGTCACTGGCTCATCGCAAGCCAATGTCTGTACGATAACACAAACACAAATTAAATGCACTCACCTTTGTCTTCTTGTCGAACCTTCTCCTCGATAAGCTTCTCAATTTCCGCACTTTTTCCTTCTTTTTCAAGTTACTTGGATCACTAGATTTATTGAGGTTTGACGACATCATATAATAACATAAAATATTCAAAGTATATGTTAGTATTGAAATAACATAATCTAAGTGTAATATAATAAAATCAATATAAAACTAAATCGTACTTCCATGTAATTTCAAACTTCTCAAAATATTTACTTCAATTCCATAAATATTTATTTCTATTATCAACCCTTCAACTTTTTCCAATTACACAATCAGGCCACTAATTATGAATTCTTTCTAGAAATTCACCTTAACTTTTCCATTAAATTCATAATGATCATTCACCATTATGATGATTGAATTTTGATTTCTAAAACTTCCAACACCTTAATAAAATTCTTAAATCAATTTTTTTTAACATTCAAAAACTTGCAATTTCGTCCAAAACTTTCTTAGACTCTTCGATTTCAATCATCCATCTTTATAAACTTGAAATTTTGATCCCAACACAATATTTAAACTAAAAAGCCAGTATACTAATGAAATTTCCAGCATTTCTATTTCTCATTCAAAATAATACCAACATGTTTTCAAAGACACTAAAAAGCCCTTAAAGTGTTGGGACATTTCAAATTTCAACCTTAAACTTTACCAAACTTGCAATTTGGTTCCAACCAACTTTGCAACTTAAAAATTTCAGCATTTCTAATATTAAAATTCAGCATTAGCACTCCAACTATCACATTTATGCAATACTATCCCAAAATTCTCAAAACTTGGAAAATAGCCCTTTTCTATTTCAATATTCCAAATTGATCCAAATTGATCTCCGAGTCTCATAGAACACCTCTAATATCATTTTGAAGATTTTTTTCAGTACTTTTTATGCTTCACGCGCTGCATACATCGTTATAAAAGATTTTGAATGGACAAATTTTGAAGATGAGTGTTAGATGTAAGGGATGAAGTGATGGAATTTTAGGGATTGAAAGTAGCCAGACATTCAGTTAATGTGTTGTCTCGGCTAAAATATAGCAGATCATCTAGTTTAACGCTCTACATTAGCTTTTCGTCCTCTAGATTAATAGTTGTTAACGTTGAGTGACCAATTTGTTATAAATAAAAAATGTTAGTGATCAATTTTTTATACATCAATAATGTTAGTGACCAATTCATTAGTTTTTTTACATTAGTGACCATTTTGTAGTTTACCCAAAACAGAAACATAAACAAACCTTGGTGAACCATGATCACTCTCCGTAAAAAACCCTGTTTTGTAAGTTGCAGTAGCCCAAACCCTTATTTTTGCTAGAAGGGTGGAAAATGAAAACCCAATACGTAAACCATGAATTGAATTGAATCAGAATGTTACTAGAGATCTGTCATTTTATGATTTAGAAAGACAAACTATAACTATTTCCATATGTGCAATCGAATTCACATGATTTTCAATCCAGTCGAGAACACTACAACTCAAAAATGGCAATCGAATTGATGAGTACTCATCAAGAAGAGGAAGCCCCACTTGTCGCTGATGTTTCGGAAATCAAAACTCCTAAAATCCGAACAAGGGATGTTCATATTTTGAGCTGTGCCTTCTTGTTGGTCTTACCGTTAATGCTGTGACTTTTCTTCTGCTTTTAATTTTCTTCCGGCTGTTTGGTTACTAAGAAAACTGACTTCTATTTGAAAATTTTGGAAGATTTTATGGTTTTTAGAATCATTATATTGAAAAGTTTTGTTCTTTTCTTTGGGTTTCAGCGAGGGAACTTGGGAACAGTGACGCTTGGGATACTGTATGTATCTTTTGCTGTTTTCTCATTGTTCGCATCATTGGTGGTTCGTGTAATGGGGTCTAAGAATTCTCTGGTTCTTGGAACTACTGGTTATTTGTTGTTCATAGCTGCAAATTTGAAGCCTACACGGTAATCACTGTTCATTTAATCACTTGGTGGGTCTTAGAAGTAAGCCGAAACAGAAAGAAACCCTTTTTTTCTCCAGGTTTTGAATGGTTATGTAGAGATGAACAACTGACATTTTGTGCATTTTATTTAAATTTCGGGCTTGTTTCCATACTATGTATTAATCGTGTTGTGATGAAACTCTGAGATTTGAACATCTTTTAATAGGTATACTATGGTACCGGTTTCCTTGTACCTCGGTTTTGCAGCTTCGATAATATGGGTTGGGGAGGTATGTGTATGTTTTAGACTTATAAAGTCCATGTATCTTTCTTGGTTAATGATGGTTGTTGATTGATTTTCATTTCCTCAGCAATATTGATTCATCAGGGGACGTATCTTACTTCTTTAGCATGTGGTCATGCTAGAGATTCCAACTTACATGAAGGAACTGTGATTGGTAACTTCAATGGAGAATTTTGGGCAATGTTTGCTCTTCACCAGGTGGCCACTAGTCAGGATAACTATTTTCTTTATCTTTAGCTTGCTACTACAAGATTGTAAATATTGATCTTTTACCCAAATTTATTTTTCTTCAAATGCAGTTCGTTGGAAATCTTATCACGCATTCGGTTTTGGAAATTGGAACGGTTTGTGTTGCTTCTATTGTTCCTCTTCCATTCTTTGTATCCAAATATTTTATAAGTGTCTTTTATGGTCAGGAAAACGGTGTTATGCTTAACATATGTGTAGAAAAAGCGTTCGGGCATTGAATGCATGCTTCCAGATATGCTCGAGCTTAGACTTACCCTCCAAACTTCTCTTTCAAGAATCGATTCCATTACATGATTATAATTGATGCCATGGGTCATTTGGCTTGGAGTTTAGTTTTTCTTCCCTTTTAAAATATTTAACAGCAGCTAATTAGTTATTCTTACACTGTTGGATGGAAGTTCCAGCAACAAAACTTTGCTGTTCATTGCTTTTCTTTGTAGTATGACATTAGGTGCCATTCTTGTGTGTTTCTTGCGTAAAATCGATGACAAAGAAGAGAAGGTATCAGAGGATTCTTCTGTCAGTTTTTGTTCTGCTTTGATATCCCGATTGAAGTCATTTATCACTCCTTTGCTCAACTTTAAGATGCTTTTGATCATTCCCCTTATTGCTTATTCAGGATTACAGCAAGCTTTTGTATGGTATTGCTTATCGAGGCCTTTGCCTCAACAACTTGTTTCAATCTTTGCCTTCCTTAAAGGAAAAAAATTCCACATATCTTCTTGACTAAGGACATGTTTGCGATTTTAGGGCTTACACCAAGGATGTTGTAAACCCAACTCTCGGAGAGGCCGGTGTGGGTGGTGCGATGGCAGTTTATGGGGCTTTTGATGCAATTGTAAGTACTTAAAGTTCAGAAATGATTACTGGGTTATCAGCCATGAGATTTACTCGACATTAGCTCTTTATAGACTAGATGCGATCGGATGATCAATTATCCGGTTTGAACTTCTTGGTAAAACTTCATATTTAGTGTTCACTAGTGGCTGGTCGACTCACATCTGTCCTGAGATCAATAACATTCATAGTTTGCACGGGAGCTTTTTTTCAGGCAGTGATATTCATCTGGCTTTCGCTAAAATACAGGTAAAACAATGCAGTCATATAAATGTTTCAACATTTTACTTCCAGGTACTTTCACTCTGTATCCTACTTACTGCTGGTTATATGCCATGACATAGTGCGACTGGTGGGGTGCTCGCTGTAGTGTACCCACTTCTCATGGCAGCTTTACTTGGTATCGGTGACGGGGTATTGAATACGCAGCTCAGTGCTTTGCTTGCTCTACTGTTTAAGCACATGGTACAAACTTACCTCTGTTTATACAGCATATCGTATATTCTAGTTCTAAAATTTTCATTTCGTTAATCTGTTATCTCTGGTGTAACCTACCTGTTAGGCCAGAAGTGCAGTTATGAACTTCAAAATCCATGATCACGCTCGATTATTTCTTATCAGAACAGGAAGGTGCATTTTCACAGCTCAAGGTGTGGCAGAGTTCGGCCATTGCATCTGTCTTCTTTTTAAACACGGCTGTTACGTTGCGGACATTGGCGACGATTATGCTTGCTGCAATCTTTGTTTCCTTGGCCCCATTTTTGTACCTCATTCTAAAGGTAGAGAAGGCATTCTCTAGGCCCCCATAATCAAAGCTTTTTCAAGATCAGAAAATTTCATATCTTGTGAGTTTAACTCCAGCATCATTTTGTCGAACCTCTAATCGATGTATCGATATCGATAACACTTTATGTTATATAATTTACGTAAATATTTGATGTACGAACATACAGGGCCGTGACCACCAACGTTGCACATTATAACTACCTTGTAGGCGCAAATTAAAAAATTTCACTATAGAAAAGGGCCCGGCAGCTACCCTATTCATGACAGTAACATCAAAATTTTAATGCAATCAAGTCGGGGTTTGTCGATGAACGTAAGAAACCCTAGTAAGATTTTATTTTTAAAAAACGAGGAAAGGGTTTGTCGGGATAATTCATAAAAATACATTAATAAAGTAAAAAGAATTTTATTCATTGAAAAATTGCAGACATGCATGAAACTAGTATTTATTGTTCTTGTAGTAACAGCTACAGTAAAACGACACCATTTTAAGCTAAAGAACAAGACCATAAGCTTCTTGTCTTTCATATAATTGGTAATAAATTTCATTTCGAAACTGAGTTGATCAAATTTTGGCTGAAATCCCATAATTTCCTTGCTAGAGCCTCGTCTCTAGCATATGAACTCGGTGTCATCTCATTGCAGTCCACAAAGTATTTACCGGTGACTCCCTTCAGCCGCGGGTGGAGCGCCACGTAGCACGTCGTCGCCGCCCCCTAAACACAGTTGTCGAAAAGATTATTTTTTTTTATCTTCCATTGAACACGAAAACCAGTTTTCTTTTTCAATTTTGGGAATTTGGGTTTTACCTGTGGAACATTCTTCCATAGGAAGAAACTGAAGAACTTCAAAAACTCTGCAACAAAAAAATGCAGATTATTGTAAATGAAATGGTGAAAAGAAGAGGGTTTACGAATAGAATTTTGGAATGCAAAAGGCAGTACTCATTAGAACGGCAGTGTGCTTAAACAGAGGCGTCATTATCAATCCAGGATGAACCGAATTTACTGTGATGTTCACACCTTCCCCCTACACATCATTTAAAAGCCAAAAATGTTACAACTTTTTATAGCCAAATTTATGGCACATTTATAGTATACAATGTTATAATCCATCATCCATCACTGGTTAAAAAAAATAAAATAAAGAATTCATTCTTCTATTTAAGTTCGAAGTTGACATCACGGCGACTCAATTTAGGTTAGGAAAAGTAATTCGTTGGCCACATGAGAGAGATTACTTGCCCCGCAAGGCAAGGCAAACCGGCTGCAATCAGTCTAGAGTTTCTCTAGACTCAAAGTGGCTGGCCAATTTCGGTTTTTGTTACTCCAAATTGAATTAGATCTTGTTGATGGAAATAAGTGTCTCGTCAGTTGTTAATAATTCACTTCTAATTTGGACGAAGAATTACGGTCAGTGAAATAAGATTGTTGATCGGTATTTTTCTAACGAAATAACCTTGTTCTCGTCAACAAGCTCTGATGGTTATTTTGATATTTTTCTAGAAACAAGGTCTCGCCAACTTTCAAGTTTTACCTGCAATCGACGAGAGAGTTCACTGGCATGCAATATATTTGCTAATTTGGACTGCCCATATGCTCTTTTATCATTGTATCTGAAATGAAAAGAAAAGGTAGAAAGTTGGTCGATGAAAACAAAATTTTAGGCAAAACAAATCATAAAATAAAACTATAATATTAAGCAAAATTACCCTTCTTTAGCATTGAGCTTCGCAAATCGGATCCCATTTTTATAACAATGAGTGTGGGCTATTGATGATAAGTTAACAATCCTTCCTTGAACACCACTAGTTTTCACTGTGCTCTTCATTTTGTCTAGAAGAAGCTCGGTTAAGAGGAAATGCCCTGGGAAAAAAAGCAATGAAGATTAGTCCGATATTAAAGAAAATGAAAGATCACCAACAATCGGTTGATCTCGTGAGATAAGCACTAGTTTTTTAAACAAAGTTAAGGGTTCGAATTTGATATCGTGAATGAAATAAGCCGGAATGAAAGAGTTATTCTCGTAATGAAGAGCTATAGTATCAAATCGGAATTAATTGATCATAAATCTTATATAAGTAATTACAGAAAATATGAAATTACTACTAATTTCTTGGAACCTACCAATATGATTAGTTGCAAACTGAGCCTCTATTCCATCTTGAGAAAGATGAAAGGGACAGAACATGATCCCAGCATTGTTTCTGAGACACACAACGTTGTAAAAATCTTGTTATAATCAACAAACGTAAAAATAAATCTGTCACCACATGTCGATCATTAAATATATTCGGTCGACATATGATGACAGGATCATAATATAAAAAGATGTATTTAGGAGCCTTTGAAATTTACATCAAGATATTGAGAGGAAGATTAAGAGCGATGAAATTGTCTGCAAACGCTCTGATGGACTTAATGGAGCAAAGATCGAGCTCCAAGACATCAACACGAGCGGTTTCGATATCTGCAAGAATAATCCTTTTGACTTCATTTGCAGCTTTAAGGTTCCTTGCACCGATGATAACATGAACGCCTCGAAGAGCCAATACACGTGAAGTCTCCAATCCGATCCCACTTGCACCACCTGAAAAAAAGAACAGAAACGAACAACATGGTTACGTTGGAACTCAAACATCATCATCAATATACATTAAGTTTGTAAAAGCGACGTTTGAAAACTAGAGTGAAGCCACGATGCAACAGGTACATTATCACAGTACAAAAACAACAGAACCTTAAATATAAATATATATAAGAAAGTGAGAGAGAGAAAGCCATGGCCGGACCCGTTATTATAGCAGTGAGATTGGATCCATCTATTCCTTGAGTGACCTCTTCGGCAGTAGAAGCCGAGCCGAAGCCGCTCGGTCCGGGCCAACCGGTGACCAACGAAATGACGCCGACCATGTTTTCTTTTGCTTGTTTAACAAAGATTTCTGTTCCTTTTTCTTGACAAAGAAAACAGAGAAGAAAGAGGAGATGGGAAGAAAGGGGGAAGGGAAAGAGAGGGTATTTATGGGTAGAGCCAACTGTAGGTGGTGGTACTTTGTATTGAATTCAATGTTCGTCGGTAAAGAACAGTTAATACTCTCAACAACCCATCAACTATATGCGTATGGGAAAATTGAATAAAGTTGTAACATGCTGCTCTCCAAGTTATCCCGCCACTTTGCTGTATGCCCATCAATAAATACTCTTCATATTACATCTAATGTGTACCCAAGATTTTTGTTTCATTTTCTTACAATTTTAAATAATCTAAAATAATTATAAGATATTATATAATTATATACATTTTTAAATTATTAATAAAAATATCCTACAAATTTAGTTTTTCGAACTAAAATGTTGTAAAAAAAATATTATTTTACTATTAAGACTTACTGAACGAGTTCTTTCTTATATTTTCTTTTAAAAGAATTTATTGGGTTAGAATTTCAAATTAAAGAGATGCAAATTATATATAAAATTAAGAGAGTTCATTATGTAAAATTATACTAATTTATAGTCATTAAATTTAAATAAATAAATGATTTAGATTTAATTAAAATTTAGAATCATAAATAAATATTTCTTTAACTCATAATAAAGAAAAATTATATATTTTTTCTTTGTAGGATTAGGATTTAGGAAGTAGGGATTAGGGTTTAGGATTTATAATTTATGGTTTATGGTCTAGGGTTTGAGATTTAGAGTTTGTGGTTTGAGATTTAAGGTTTGAGGTTTGAATATAAAAAGATATTATTTCACCATGAAGTAAAAAAAGATTTGTTTTTGAGTTATAAATATTAATCATACGAAGTAATTTGTTCAATTAAATATAATGACTATAAATTAGTGTAAAACTTATTAGTTTTACATAGTACAAGTGGAACATATCCCATTTTTAAATAAATAGTTTAGATTTACACTAATATTTTATAGCTATTAGATTTAAATAAATAAATGGTTTATATTTCATTAAAATTTATAATTCATAAATAAATATGTTTTAACTTATAGTAAAATAATATTTTTTTATCAAAATCTCAAACCTCAATTCCTAAATCTTAGCCCTAAACTCTAATTTCCCAGAAATTAAATCATAAACACTAAACTATAAACTCTAAAAAGATTAAATCTTACCCTATATCCTAAACTTAATCCTAAAAAGAAAAATATTATTTTAGTGTGAGTTAAAGAAATATTTATTTATGTGTTATAAATTTTAAATAAATCCAAGTCATTTTTTAAAATCAAGTGATTATATATGAGTGTAAAATTTATTATTTTTACATAATGTAAATATATCCTAATCCTATATATATATATATATATATATATATATATATATCAATTTAATTATTCTGAAATTTTAAAAGTTAATAATCAACCGATATTTTCAATAAAATCAACTCTATAATTTGAAATTAAAAAAATAGAAAATAGTTTCCTATATATAAAATAGAGTATAATTTTAACCTATGGATGAGTATAGAATGATTCATATTAATATGATTATCAAAATATATAAATTATTTTTATTAAAAAATATTAAAAATTTCAAGAATCACTTTATAATTATTTGTTGAAAACATTTTGATGTTTCGATATAATAAATTAAATTAAAAGAATTTTAATTTTGAAAATGATTTTTCTAAGCATATTCGATATATTAAATCGAATATCAAAATATTACTCAAAGTATTTCAAAGTTCATTTTAAATCCTTACTCAAGTGTAAAATTAAGTTTTAATCTTAAAATAATTTCAAAACGATTTTACAAAATATTTTGAACCATTTCAAAGCCAAAAATTCCAGATTGCTTAAAGGGAACCGATTCCCCCCCAAGGGGGTACCGATTCCCCCTGAATGGTTTGGCTCCGAGAATTCCAGTATGCTCGGAGGGAACCGATTCCCCCCACTGTTCAACTGTCGAAATATTTGAATTTTACACTTAGGGAACCGATTCCCCCCACGCTCCAAGCAGAAATATTAATTGTTTTCACACTTAAACGGCTCCAAAAAC